AGAACTCAAGGAAAGGGAAAGACAAGCACAGCATAACACCATGTCATGGACGGTATGCTACGATAACAGTTGCCAAACACACTTTGGCGACAAAGAAGGCTCGGGATGGTTCCCGAGGGAATGTTGAAAGCGTGGCCCATGCCCGGACCAGGTTCTGAAGCATTGGCAACAATGCTTCAAAAACGGGTGCAGGATACACAGGGCACAGAAAATATCTGCGGGATACTACCCGCAGAAGGATGAAAGCAGAAAAGAGTGGGAAGGAGAAGATGCCAGAAAGGCATGGGCCACGAGGACGCGGTCCAGGGAAGGAGGGGCCCAAAACTCCTCCGGAAACACGGAACCAGATGTCAGGAGCGTATACAGGCAGTTCCGGGGACTCCGAGAACAACTGGGCCAAGCCAAGGCCACAATTTCGGCAACCGACAAAACGATCGCGGAGCTAAGACAGCTGAACGACAAGCAGCGGCACACGATCGAAATGGCGAACCTGACTCTGGAATCGGTCAGGGTCAGATGGAGGACGGCCGACGAAAAGTTCCAAAAGCTGAGAAGGACCATGCGCTCGGCAGGACGGGAACTATTGAAACTGGGAGAAAAGGCCTGATGGGACTCAGGCATAGGCGGAGGGGAGCTAATATCACGAATGTGGCTTAGCGAGAAAAGGGTTTTCACGTGACGCATAGTTATGAGTCACAGGTATGTTATTGTTTCACACATATGACTCATTAGGGTTATATGATTTGTTATGTGTGAGATTTGTGATGCTTTCGCACATGGCTCAAGTATGAGTCATGGGACATGCGCCTGACAAGTATGCCTTGCGAGTATGCCTTGAGGGTAAGCCTTGCGCATATGATTTATGTTTTGCACATGACCTCATTATGAGGTAATGGGTTTCGCGCATATGACTCAGTCGAGTCATATGACTTGTTTATTGCGTTATGATTGGTTTATGAGTTTTGTACAATGACCTCGCTATAAGGTCATGGATTTTGAGCATGTGATCACTTTGGTCACATGACTAGTTTGTTATGATTTGGTTTCGCACATGTGACCACTTTAGGTCACATGACTACAGGCGGGAAGAATACTATATAAGGAGGCCGATGAGGCCGAGGCAGATAGGTTCTTCACGCTTTGTTCTAAGTACTTTTCCTACTTATTACTTTAACGAATATAAAACACCTTTACGATCTTTATCTTTATTGCAACATTATCATTACGCCAAGAAGTGCTCGTCACGAAGACAAGTTAGAGAAAGCTTACGATAGGCATTTCCGATAGAAGACCAAGGTCTTGTATTATCAGTAACGTAGGTAGAGGCCAAGAGCTATTGTAAGACAAAGAAAGCAGAAGACAGAAAAGATAAGTATCCTTCCCCATCGCCAAGAACTAATTATCTAGAAAGGGGATTGTTACACCACTTCAATTATTTAAACTCTTCTGGGATGAGATTCTAATTAGTATCTGGGTCGAAGGTACTAATAAGTATGCTGTAATGAAGGAAAGGAAGTGGGAAAGGATATGCGTGAGAGGGCTAAGATGAAGGAGGTGGAAAAAGGTAACTTCAGATGAAGTATGGGTTTTTCTTGGGTTGCTTTTATATTTAGGTACATGGAGAGAGGTAGGAGTATAGCGTTACTGAAAGGATGAGCGCCAGGAATTCACACTAATTCAAGTGATATCATTAAACTGCTTCTGTCAGATGAAGTGCTTTTTACACATATCTGATCTGAAGATTCAGCTTACTCAAGCAGAGTGGTTCCAAAAGCTGGAAATGCTCAATCACATCCTCAGTGACAAGTGTTAAAAATATTACCTATCAGCATCAAATGTGACGATAAATGAAATGATGATTTGCTTTGGAGGAAAAAGTTTCATACCTATAGAATGTCTAGTAAGCCAATTACAGCAGGCTAAAAGGTATTTGCCTTATATAATACTGGGTATACCTATAATTGGCTATATACTTCTAGAAGTGAGTCTGTTGCTGGACTTGAGGTAATTCTATTTAGCTATTATAGTTTGAATTTTAATTAGAAATTTAAACTAATAAGTTTAAACTGAATATAGTAATCTTAAGGTTACTAGATTACTAGTATACTAGCTAGCATGAGCTTTACCTAGAACCTCCCAGGTTCACTTCGACCTCTGTATGGATAATTACTTTCCATCAATTACACTTTTTAAGAGGTTAACAGACTTGGGAATTGGGGGATGTGATACAGGTACAGTAAGAGTATGGAAAACTGCTTTTCCACCCCATCTATATGATGGCCGATCCAGTATTCCTTGGAATGAGCTCTCTAGAGGCCCTGCTAGTAGTACTGAAAAGATATTGGCTGTACAATAGCAGGATCAGAATGCAGTTCACTTCCTTACAACGATTCATAATTTGGAAGACAGGATTACAGTTTTGCGGAAAACGCCTCTACAGGGTAGCAGCAATGGACCTACAATTCATAAGGCTTTTGGTACTATGGAGCAGGCAAATATTCCAATACCTTTAATCACAAACCATTACAACTGGTTTAAGGTGGGAGTAGATATTGCTGACCAGTACGTACCAGAGTTACTATTTCACGCAACTGAAATGCTTACAGAACTGGCCTCCAATCTTCTATTAGCTTCTCAATACTACTGCAATCAATTTCTATTTTCTCTCTCAACGGGTCTCCATTAATTGTAGACTACCTTCTGGATCCCAGCTCTTCTGTGTTGTTATTGCAGAGGATTTAAGTTCTCACTATGCCAGGATGCGTACCTCAAAAGCCTCGCAAAGGCTACTCCATCCACAAAACCTCCTTATCCCGCTACAGTAAACTCCAGCAGCGCACTACTCTTCCTTTCCCTGTTGCCTCTAGCAGTCTTCCATGCAGCTCAACTCCCCATCAGTATATACGTTTTAGCTCTAAAAGGCTAGAATGTACCTAGTGCCAATTTATTTTAAGTGCTATGAACCGGAAGGCCAAGTGAGTACCAACTACTCAGTATGGATGTCATGGCCCTGAGTGTGGATTTGCCCTTTACCGTGATTGTTTTAATATTCCTCATAAGGATATTCATGTACAGTGGTGTCTGAAAAGTCTACATACTCCTACTTGGTAACACCGCAGCCAACAATCACCTTAACATCACCTCCTACCATGGTACTACCATACTCCCAAACTCTCAGAGAAGACCAGAAAAGGGAAATCTCTACCCTTATTAAACATACTGCTATGGGGTATGGTAAAATTTCAAACCTTATGAACCTCTACAAGTCAACTGTTTCAACAGTAGTCAAAAATGCAAAATCCAGAGATGGAAACATCCATGATGCCCCTTGATCTGACAGACTAACCAAGGTTACTGATGCCAAAAGGTAAGTAATTCTTGATATTATTGATGCTGAGCCTTATTTAGCCCTAAGAGACATTACTCAAAAAGCCAATATTGGACTTGGTAAAGATACTATTAGCAAGATATTCAAAGAAGCTGGATTTAAGCTCAGGATACCTAGGAAAATGCCTTTTTGGAGAAAAGGACAGAAGGAGAAGAGAAAGAAGTTTACTAGAGTGAGGAGGAACCTGACAAGAGCTTAGAAATGGGTGGTTTTTGTTGATGAAGCCACAATTGAATATGATCCAAATCCAGTAGGAAGAAAGATCTGACTTAGACCAGGTGATGAGTTGGAAGAAAAGAACTTAAAGCCTAGCTTTAAGTCAGGGCGTACCAACATAGGTGTATATGCTGTAATAATGCATGGAAGGAGGACTGACCTCATTCTTGTAAGGAAGAAGACTGAGGAGGAAAGAACCAGCAAAAGAGACAGACTTGTTCTCAATTCCCACCAATATGCAACTGAGATTCGCCAACCCTACCTCATCCCCTTCATAGAAGCCATAGACAGAGCTCCTCAAACTATCTATATGGCTGCTGATAATGCTTCATGGCATAATGGAGCAGAAAACAAAAAATTGCAAGAGGACTATGGATATCAAAGATTGGCTTGGCCTCCCAACTCACTCGATCTCAATCCTATTGAGAATTCCTGGGCAATTCTCAAAAGAGCACTCAGAAAGCAATTCTCCAAGGTTGAGAGAAGGCCTCATAGTGCTGCTGAACTATTTTGGGCAGCAAAGGAAGAGTGGGACCTCATTCTCCCGGGGACATTTGATGGATGGATTCAGAGGATGCCTGAGAGACTTCAGGATGTATTAGGTGCAGATGGAAGCGATACAAAATGGTAGCATTGGGAAAGGTTTTTTTCTATTTCTACTATTATCTATTTTAAAATTGTACTCATATCTTTTGTTGTGGTCAATATCATTATTTGTAGTGGTAGTACCATTGACGTGAGGGGTATGTAGACTTTTCAGACACGACTGTACTATCAACTTTCTTAGTTCTCTTCTTTTTTTTTTTTGCGACCGTTGTTTTCTCGGTTACTGTATTCATACATAAACTCCTTCTCTTATTCTGATATCACAGCGTGTCTTAATAAGCTGCCAAGCGCCCAGGTCTGGATTGGGGTATTAGTTAGCGTGCGTGTCGCGAATTTTACTGTCTCAGACCGCCCAAGGGATATTATCACCTTGTTTTACTCATTTCCACTCTACAGTATTTTTCAGCACGGTACTAGGTATATTCTGTCCCTTGTTCCGCTCCCACCAACATTTTCACTTTTCATTCTCTATCTCCTCCTTCAAAAGATGCTTGTTTTAAAAACAAAAAGCACTTGTTTGTTCTTAGAAGTAGCCTTATCTCAGTGCTTTTTTCTTCTTCAAAATTCATTGTTGCTGTTGACGAGATAGAGATCGCATTCTGCCTTTTTCGAGGACCCGGTTTGAGCCACTTTACAATAGCACCAGCAGGGCCTTTAGGGGAGAAAAAAATAAAAAATCTGACGCATAAAGTAAGTCCGTATGATTTCTCTTTTGTTTTTGTCCTCGTTTGTCACCATACTCTCATTCACATAGACTCCAAAGACCGATGGAAAAGGAAAATAGAGAAAATAACGACAACAAAGTTATTGGCCATTTAATCGACATCTCAATAGTTGGAGTAAAATATCATGTCCGGTCCATTACCTCCCTGACTACCCTCACAAGAAAAGCTATATTTTTTCCCCACAATGCAAACCAAACCAACACCAGTTACCGTATTCACCACAGAACATTGTGGTGACACCTGCAGCAAATACACTATGCTAATTAACCCTCCCATTCCCTGCTCCCCACCGTGTCACCAATCATTACCTAAGATTGATTATCAAGATTGTTTTAGAGTGCATACGGGTTCAATGATCGGATAGTCAGGCAGCTGTATGTGATGTGATGTAAGTAAACTGCACGCCAAGTGAGAACAGTGGATACTTACGGAGGACTCTTGCTCAATTCGGTCTTCAAAAATACCGGTACTCGAGTCAATTCACGAACTTCTTGGATGTAATCCCCCTTCTCTTCACGAAGGGTAAACATTTGTAAGTACTTGTCTTCGTTTGAACCCTCCCGTCCGTCTGCCTTTTCACTATCGTGAGCAGCCACGGATATTTTGGGATCAGACCGAGTACGGTGAGGGGTCTGCGAAGATGTGGGCGAGTTCTTGGTAGGTGAGCCAGGCATGCTCTGAGTTGGTCTGGTGCTAGCGGCAACCGGAGCAAGAGTAGTCGGTCTCTCAGTAGCAACGCCCCCGTCAGAGGGATTTGAATCATCTTCGTCGTCAAACAAACCCTGTTCAGCATCGGGGTTTCGCGATGAAACTTCCATCATCTTGCGCTGTATCTCCTCTTGTTCCTGGGCAGCCTTCGCTGCAGCCGCGGCTTGACTGGCAGCAGCGGCGGCATTAGCAGCACGAAGGGCAGCCCCACCCTTGGGGCGCTCATCTTCCGGAATGTACACATTGGATTGAACGCCCTTCTCCCAATATAATTCCAACACACGATTAGTTTTATCAAATTCTGCCTTCTTCAATGGAAGCTGGTCGCAATGCACACGCTTCTCGAAACCATATTCGGAAATCAGGACATCGAAAGCTGACTCGTAAACGTTGATCACAATTGCCTCGCATATCAGCTCTCCACCCTGAGCCTGGCGCCTCCTGTCGACAGCACGGCAGAGCTCAATGTGGATGCTCTGCTCCATCGCGTTCTTTGCCGAATCCTTCTTTACATTGCACTGTTCGGCAGTCTTGGCAAGAGCTTCAGTATCCTCCGTGAAGTCAACCGCACCGTTTGACAGGACTGCTTCCAACTGCCTGTGTACAATGATATCCGCGTAGCGGCGAATAGGGCTAGTGAAATGAGTATAGGCAGGAACGTTGTAAAGATAGTGCCCATGAATTTCAGCTGGGAGTTTGCTAGCCACGAAGTACTTCGCTCGTTGCATTCCCTTGATGAGCACTGTTTCCATGCCCTAAACTACAGTAAGCACTATTTCTCCTCAAGGTAGGCTCGGGTGGTCATACCTGTCGAACGACGGGATCCTTCAAACGGAAAAGACTGGTTTGCAACGCCGCACTACTGGAGACGTCGATATGCTGATCATAGCGGTTCATACGTTCGGCAAAGTTCTCAACGCGTCGCTGGTTAGGGGGGGAATGACGGCGAAGCAAGGCTTTCTCCGGAAGACCAGTTGCAATCTTTTGTGCAACAAAGTTGTTTGTTTTGATGAACAGCTCCTCGACTATCTCATAGGCAGGGCGGGTTTCAAAAATATTATCTTCAACCGGGATGTTCTCATCATCCAGTTGGTAAACCAAACGAAGAGCGGGGATATCAACATTTTCCGCTGAATATCTCTGTCTCCGTGAGTTGCGAGTTATTTTCTATCCAGTGTTAGCGTGGGGAGTAATCAGGCGAAGGAGCAGGATAAGTCATACATGGAGTATAGTGACAGCAACCTTAAACTCCTCAGAGACAGTCTCACCCTCAGCCCCGGACACAACAGCGTCCACATCTCCGTATAGGAAGCTAGCGCTGTTCTTAATTATACCCTTACCAACCCAAGTCTCCTCCTCAACAATTTCATTTGTATCCGCATTAACGGTAAATACAACACTGGTGGTGAACCTATCCTGCCCTTCCTTCAGAGATAAAAGATCCTCCGCGAGCTTTGGGGGCAACATGGGAACCAAACGATTGACTAGCTCAACACCAGTGCCTCGCTTTCTTGCTTCCCGGTCAACAAGGGAGTTTGGTTTGACAAAATGGGCAACATCGGCAATATGGACACCAATTTCCCAAGTAGTATCACTAACTTTCTCCACGTGGAATGATTGACTAATGTCACCGGTGCTCTTGGCATTGATGCTGAATGTTTTCACATCACGGAAGTCCTTGCGAGCGGCGATAACCTCATCCTTTTCAGCCTCGACCGACCAATTGTCAATGACATTGCGAATGACAGCTTCAGAGAAGTCATCGGGTCCAAAGTTATTATCACGAAGAAGAGCATCGGTTTCGACCTTGATATCACCCATCTCCCCAAGCTGTTCAAATAGAGTACCAAAGGGATGGAGAGATGTAATAGGCCAACGCTTGATACATGCGACGAAGATGCGATTGGCATATGACTGGTGATTCTCAACGAAGTCACGGGGGGCTTGCTCAGTGGGGATAGCGATTAAAGGTACCCTCTTATCGGTCGGCTTGAACCACACAATCTTGGGTTTGTCTTGTGTTCGTTCAGGTTGGTTCTGCCGCCCGGAATGGCCCTCACGAGCTTGTCGTTCTGCCTCCTGTTTCTCCTTGGTCGCCTGACTGCTAGGGCGTAATAGTCCGAGAGTCCTAAAAAAGGTGAAATGTCAGCTTTGAATCAAATTAAGATCAATAATAAGAACGTACCCGGAAAACATTTGGCCAGCAACCCGCTCAATAACGGCAACGATATGACCAGCGAAGAGGGGCTTTTGCTCATCATTGACTTCCTCCTCTTCAACCAAAAGCAAGCTCTGGCCTTCAACCTCAACGTCATCATTCTTCTTCTGAGTTGGTCTCTGGCGGAGGGATCCTCTCCTTTTAATTCCGGTTCCTTCTTGACCTGCCTCGTTAGTAGAAGTTCCATCACCACCGGTATTGTTGTTGGAAGAACCAGATGGTCCCCTCGTCTCACTAATATCTTTACGCTTCTTCTTTTCCTCTTTTTCACGCTTCTGACCCCAGACCTCATCAACATCAAGCAGTTCAACGGCAACAAGATCGCCCTCCAAGGCACGATTACGATCCTTGCTTCCGCAAATGAAGATATCGGCATCCAAAAGACCATCTTGAGTAGAAACATAGGCGTCACTTCGATTCTTCTTGTTGACTCTCAAAATACCTGACACCAACTGACCATTACTCAACAAGGCGGGCAAACTAGCTTGTGGAAGATATGGGGTGAACAAAGTCTTTCTCTGTTGTTGCTGGTTTGGCATATTCTGACCAGTGGCTTGACCAAGATTACCCAAGTTCAGTGACTGAGCACTAATAGCCGCCTGCTGTAGTTGTAGCTGAGTCAATTGCTGCTGCTGCTGTAGGAGACCAGCATTGAGGATTTGGGGCTGGCCGGTAGCAGGGTTGATAAAAATACTCTGACCTCCATGACCTGGGAGCATAAGGCCTGGTTGAGTAGGAAATTGGAAAGCACCAATAGAAGCTCGGGTGCGATGCCCTGGCTGAAAACCAGGATTGAGTTGGCCCATCCCCTGGTTTTGGTTAAGATTCTGAAGATCAACGGACTGGTTTTGCTGATGTCCGTGAGACTGGTTTTGGTTTTGGTTACGCCAATTGCCCTCATAGTTTCGGGATCCGGTCCTGTTATGTCCTTGAAAGCCAGAGTTACTACCACGACGCTCCACATTTCTACCTTGTTGTTGATTACCTTGACCTTGGTTTCCTGAAGTTGAGCCAGCCCCTGCATCGCTCGTAGCCATGGGAGGAGGGAACTGGAAACCGCCAATTGGTCCACCGGCCGCTGCGCTTCCACCATTCGCGCCGACGGCCAAGCTCTGGCTTCTTCCGTGACCGCCCATTCTAGGTCTAGGGGGGGCCAGTGTTGCCGGCGGATTAGTAGTTGCTGTCTGTGCTTGGCCAGGGGCAATTGTCGTGGCGGGTGTCTCCCTGGCAGCAGGTGGGGAACCGGCGGTTGCAGGAGAGCCCGCACCACCAGTTGTTGGGCTTGATCCATTGGCTGTAGCAGTGGCAGGGCTTCCTGATGCCCCTCCAGTGGAGAACTGGAAACCGGCCTGGCCTCTTCGTGCCTGCGCAAGTTCGGCAGCCTTTTTCGCTTCGGGAAGAGCAAGAGAATGTCTACGCTGATGTCCTCTACCAGCATCACCACCCTGGCCTCCCGTAGCACCCGAGGGCCGACGTTGTGGGGCACTATTATTTGTACCGGTTGAATTAGAATGAGAAAACTCGCCAAAAGTACCAGATGAACCAGAAGAAGGTGCAGGTGGGGGGCCAGTAGCACCACCCATTCCGGACATAGCAGACTGATTCCTTCTATGAGACGATGGCTGAGTAGGAGCTCCGGGAGGAGCGGCATTTTGTTGGTGTTGCTGAGGAAATTGAAATCCACCCTGACCATGTTGAGGCGAAACACTAGACATTTGTGGCATTGGGCCGAATCCCGGAGCCAAGTGACTTTGCCCTGGAGGAAGGAGACCCATATTTGCATATTGCTGATGAGCGGAAAGCATTTGTTGCTGTTGCGCTTGCAGCATTTCAATTTGTTGCTGAAGGGCCAATTGTTCCACTAGGCCTCAATTAGCTTTACCACAATTCTATATGATCCGGAGCAATCCATTGACAACACAATTAAACGATAACTATGAATTATTTTTCTTATTTTAAATCACAATGTGCAAGGGAAAAGCGCATACTCATTAACGGAGTAAGTTCCGAGGGTGACCTCCTATGTGCGATGTGAAGTCTTCGGCCTCCGGCTCCAGTAACATTTTGCTGCTGTTGTTGCTGCTCCATTTTCAAAGAGGGAAGAGGAAAAGAGCTTTAATGCTTCTTCTAAAGAAAGCGCAAAGACAAAGCTGTTAGTAACTCATGAGCTTACAATGTCTAGGAGAAGGAGTTGACTTACCAGTAGCAAAAAAATTAAAAGAAATTCTGTATGGAGGCAAGCTTAGCACTTATTAGCAGTGCCCCGTATGTGACGACACCAGTAAGATATGACGAAACAGTAATAATTCAGCAACGCCACTACTGGAAGAACAAGCTAGAAAATGTACCCATCTTATTAGAGAAATTTCCCAACGGGGTAGCATAGCATAGTAATAAGGAAGTTTAAATTCTTATCATACCAAATTTGGGAAAACGGGACAGTTTTTTTGTCGGCTTTTAATATTTTTTTGGCTTTCTTTTTTTATCAAAAAGCAGTCGAACTCGTAAAAAAACGTTTAGAATTAGAGAGTAGTGTATGGATTGGTCGTTATCCAAAAAGGTATTCAAATAAACTTCGTAAACGGTGTTGTATCCGTCTTCCAATTTCGTGCGTATCGTGTCCTCGTACAAACAGATCGATGGGTACTGATAAAAAAATATAAAGAGATAACGACCAAAGAGAGACTTTCTCTAGCGATAGATGGTAGAGACTTGCTGGTAGGATAGTCTGCGAGCTAAGTTTGCCGGCTTTGGTGGGATCAACGAACAAGCAAGGGGATAGCTGCTTGGCGATGCCTTATCTCTGCGCAGGAGCGCTGTGGGGGCGAGTGGAGGATGATGAAAGGGGCTTAGGGAGAGGCGGAGGTAGTTAATGCAAAGGAGAGGGAGGAAAGAATCACAGCGAAGGGTAGGAAGCGGAAGCAAGAGATTGTTAGTAGAGAGGTTGTCTTTTCCGTTGAGGAGTCGGAGACGGCCTATGGGGTTTAATTGCGTATCTTTGCACAGCAGTCTATCCGATTGGAGGCAGGCAGGCAGGATCGGTGGACGAGTTAAGGAGAGAAGGCTAGACAGAAGCGAAGAGGTTAGATGGAATGAGAAACTGCAAGAAAAGAAGGGAAGATAGAATCAAGATTGGACAATGCGTGAAGGGGGAAGCAGGCAAGGTGAATAACGGAAGTAATCGAAGAGACGAATTAAAACCCGATTGGGAGAAGCTGAACTAGGATAGAAGGAAGGGTGCGTGGGTATTGTGATAGAAGATAGGACACAGTAAGAGGAGGCACAAGCTCCTGTTGAGTGATACATTTCGAGAGGGGGATGGGAACAGGAAACATATAAGAGACAGAGGGAAAGAATGGATGGAAGCTCGCTCAGCTCGGATGGATATTGTATTGACCCTTTTAGATTCGGGACTTTGGAAACAAGCAAGAACCGATAAAACCGGTAACGTACCTTTTAGCGTTGACAAAAACAACCCGGCGCGAGAGAGTGAAGAGGACGATTCAAAAAAATGAGAGATGTTAGGGAGGGAAGGGAGGAAAGGGAGGAAAGAGGGGGAGAGAGGGGGGAGGGGAGGAGGGAGAAGGTAAAGTGTTGGTGTTGAGGAGGAGAGAGAGGGCAAGTAATAATGAGAGTAAGTAGAGAAGAGGGTGAGAAGGGGAAAAAGAGAGGAGTTGAACGGCGGTACCCTATGAGAGAGGAATCAGTTAGTCGAGTGCAGTGCGAGGGGTTGCACATACTAGGTTCTATCTGGTGGAGGACGGTCAACGACAGCCAATGGTGCATGCCTTGGGCTTTTACGATGCTTGGCGTGTTGATATCCCTGATGGAGAGCTCCCTGATCGGGATTCTCCCCTTGAATGAACTCTACGTATGAACTAGCTTTCAATAGTATTTACAGGATCAAACGGTCTGCGCACCGCCTCTCCCAATCGTTTGAGGTGGGAATCCGACATTTCTACGGAAAAGGCCACCCTTTTAATTATTTCTTCCAGACAGCTTCAATCCAATGATTTGAGTGTTAACATGATACGGCGCTTGATTTCATAAGCTATTCACAGCTATGACACCCCAGTAGATGAGGACAGTCATTCAGTTCGCTTTCTTTTGATCTTCGAACAAAATATTCTAGCTTGATGTCTGCAGAACGCGTAAAAGAACACACAACAATTGTTGGAATTACCCCCCCCCCAATGGCCCCAAGTGCCACCGAATCCCCCTCATCCCTTGCTCTGGCCGAGCACTCTTGATATCTGAGGATCCCAGCTATTTCCCCACAACTCACCCATTTCCCCAAGTTGTCATTTTCCCATAAACTTCAACTGCGATAAGAGCACTGGGTAACATCTCTCCGCTACCAGGATGATGACATTCCCGTCAGGAGCCCTCTCGCTACACTCTGAAATTCCTTGCAACATGGTTCGAGGATCAAAGGTGACAAACGAATTTCCCACATGTCTTCCGCAAAGTCTTGCCCTTCGGAATTCCTACATGTTGGTACGTACTATCCGAGTACTTGGTACAGGTATTTCCCTGCCAAAACGCCTGCCAGCCGCGATACTGCGCAGGAGCTTGCCTGTGTCACCCGACGGCGCGTCCCGTGATTCCACGCAGATGTTCCCATTCACGGACGAGAAAACAGCCCACAGGAAGTGGCCGCGGTGTTAATCCACGATAACAGATCAACTGCTTTCAAATAAATAAAAATGGTTTTGCCTGTGCCAACCGCTCACAACCATCCCATGAGATAGTTGATTTCATCCATGAGAAACTCAGTATTACTAGCCTTTTTCGACATCCCTCCTCCTAATCATAAGTAGCCATTTTTCTTAACTTTACAAAATTCCCGGAACCATAACATTCCTCTTCTTCTTGTAAGTGCTGCCAAACTCTTTTCTGTATCTCTTCTCCTTCTTTTGAGCCCAAAGGAACATTACAGTTGTCCCAGTAAGGGTGAACAACGAAGCAGCCCAATTTCCACCGCTCAACACCCAAACACAAACCCACGACAAAACCTCAAAAGAGTAATTGGGGCAAGTGACAGAGTCAAACCCATATCCCTGGGGAATCTGTCTCTTGGTACTATTGGCAGGTCGAAGGTTACGCAATGTGAGGTGAGTTTTGAAGTTGGAGATCTGAGCAAACACCCAAAGCGCCACCATGCCATAAACCACAGCAGGATTGTTATCGGCATTCAATGCGGCCGGCCACCAGGATGCCGCCGGAGAGGCAGCAGGCGTGTACAAGGAATAAGCGAGATTCACTCCAGAAAGGATCCAGTAGTGCGCGGAGTTCCTAAAGATATAACGGAAGGGCATCGTACCCGAAAAGCGGTGGATAAAGAAGGTTTCGTATTCGCGCTTGAGGAAATGAAGAACTACCAATGCGCACAGGAGTGCTTGCGTCTGGGTTGGTGGAGGGAGGTCTTGATCAGGCTTGAGTGACGGACCGTATGGTATATACGAGAGGGGGTTGAGAGGGGATGACGAATAGATATAAGGTCGCACAATATAAAGGAGTAGTGGGTGAATGAAGAGCGGCCCTAGATACTCGATCATGAATACGGTACGCCAGGCAACTTGTGGGCCTATACAAGTAACATTAAAAACGGCATATGAGCAACTATTCTCAAAGTTTAAGGGGGGCGACAAATTATCGAGCTAATATTGATATATTCCATACCTAAATCCTTGACAAAGACCGTGCTACCATCCCGTAACCCCAGCTCTTCAACCATAATATCCTTCCCACTCTCCCTTTTTACTGTCACAGCGCTGCCATCGCTTCCCTTCGTCAATCGCAACCTATCTCTAGAGAGTCCAGTGTGTGCCGACAAACGGGTATAAAGGGTTTCAGCAGTAGCAGTAGCAAGATCAAGTTCAATTGTAGATGGAAGCTTTTTGATAGAACGACCTGTAGTTTACCGTTAGTGAATATGCAGAGGCGAATAAAGAAAGAAGCAAATTCAAGCAGCGGCACACATACCCCTTGGCTTAAGCTGCAGACTGATCATAATGCAAACAAGAGGGTACCCGTAGAACTAATCCTAAGGTGTGAAAAGTGGAGGCGGAGGTGAAAGAGAGGAAATTTCAAAGTCTTATGTCTACCGTGCAGTGAGTGAGTTACCGCGGTTGTTGTTGGGGGTTATGAGCGAACATAGCCTAACCAAGAACAATCCCCGCTCAACAGTTTAGCAATACAACGACAAATCGAATAGAACCATTCCCCCCTTTCCCCAACATCCACTAGTCAGGTTCGGCGAACCCGCGAACAATGTTCCCGTAGCACAGATGATCCGATATTTTATTTGAGGGCGGGGAATCGATTTATCAGTGAACGGAGCTATGGTACAAGGTACAGGCATAAAAAAATGGTACAGCGCAGGGGGGTATGAGGGTTGTTGTGGTCAAAATTATGGAACACCACTACGAAGTGAGATGTTGTAAACTAAGAAACTCACCTGATCAACACAGTCAGATTGTTAGCAAGAAATAGGTATTGTGACATGTCAAACAACGCTACAAGTGTTTGAAAGGTAATAGAAATGTAAAAATAAAGACCTAAGAGAAACAATGAGTTTTCAATTATCAATAATATTATCAATCAAGAAATCAGATGGTAGGACATTGAAGAAGAATAACAATATAGAGGAAATATAAGCATCATGATGAAGTTGTTACAATGTTGAAAAAATAGATCTCCAGCTTGTACCGCAGAACACTACTTCAATGTCATTTCTGCAATCACTGACTAGCTCTTATCTGCTCATTTTAGCCACCACTGAATTCTCTCTACCAGTGCTGGCTGACAACAGTAACCATAGCGGTCCTGCTTTAAACCAAAGTCATTATTTACCTACTGTTCCAAATAAAGAATCTGAAGAAAATCGGAGTTTGAATTCACACACACATTCTCTATTTTCCTTATTCTTGTATTGGTTTTTCTTTAGCTAATATTATTAAAGGTGAGCCCAATCTGCCAGCAGATCAAGGAACCCTACACAAACAAGTATTATCACAAGTTAAAGCATAAATTCAGGCTCTACGAGATATCGCACTATAGACCTATAGGAAAATCGCCGATGATATTCATCTACCTCTTCTGACTGTGTACAGAACTGTACAGCAATTGTCCACTTCCAATCAAGGCATCAGAAAGCATGATTGATATCTACTTCTCACTTCTGAAGTACACATAAGGCTAGTTGAAATAGGAACTACTTCCACTAGAAACGGGTGAAAACTATTCACAGAGATTGCCTCCCTTGCTAGTATTCAGGCAAGTGAGAAAACACTATGAACTACTTTTGCAACAGAGGGCTACTACCGGAGTGTAGCTCGGAAGAAGTCATTTCTGAAAAAAAAAAAAACATATTCAGGTAAGCTTGGAGTATTTTACTAGCATTTTATTTCTTATGGGAGTGGTAGAAATACTTCTCGGAGGAAATAGCATCAATAGGGATAAACCAGATAACATCAGCCGAATACTACTCTTGTGGACTGCTTACCATGAGCAAGAACAAGTGATGAAAATCTTTCTCAGACTTAGAAAAGACGACGTCAAACCTGACAACCCAGATATCTACTGCTGAATCCCTCTCTGGTGCCAGAGGGTTGCTTATAATGGACATGATAGAGTAGTAAATATACTGTGTAGACAAGACAGTATTAATCCTGATACACAAGATATATATGGTCAAATAACACTTTAGTTATCTTCTTTCAGAGTGGTAAAAATGCTACTTGCACAATGATATTAATTTTGACACACCAGATAATATCAGCCAAAGAACCACTGTGGTGGGCAGCTAACAATAAATACACACAAGGGGTGAAAATACTACTCTCACGAGATGATGTTAACCCAGACATACTACGCAATGACCTGCAAAAGTGTATTACTGTGAACGAGTATTAGGTAGCAGTGAAAATTCTACTTACATGAGACATCAATCCCAATAATCGAGATAATAATCATTGAACAACACTCCTGTTGGCTACTTGCAATGGGCAGGTGTGTAGTGAAATTGCTTCTCACATTACACAACCTCAACCCCGACAGCTCAGATATCAACAGTTGAATTCTACTCTGGTGGGCTGCTTACAATAGGTATAAGGGAGTGGTAAAAAGCCTCCTCAGACAAGATACTAATAGTATTAGCTTCAAGATATCAGATAAAGACACCAAAAAAACACTTTTGTGTGCTGCTGGGAACGAACACCCAGGTGTGGAAAAGTTCTAGTTAGATGAGATCAGGTCAACCCTCACAGAAGGTGGTGAGTGTCATGTTCTGGCTATAGGAAGTTTCTTTTATGAATGGAGGAGCTAAAGAATATGAGTGACAGGAGTTCATCATTATGGATTTCGGCGTTATGGTCAATGATTTAAACTCACCTTTCTGGTGTATGAGTTACCACTAGGGTTATGAAATCTCGAGTTTGCTGCATCATTTAGTCTTGATACCCATGATCCAGACCTGTCTTCCATGGTTGAAGTCACTGAGAATAGTGCTGGGTTTTTGTAATCTTTTGTATTACTTATAACTTATATCTTATTCACTTTTGTCAATTTTAGTACTTAATCTTTTATTTCTAAATTCTAATATTTAATAGTGTAAATAATAAGCAAAGAATTATCTCTAGTAGTAATATTACTATTAGACTGATGAGTAGGTAGTATTATTTTAGGAATGACTTACACGGACCTAATGCTTTCAAGATTAGGTAATTAGAGATTAAAGCAAAATTATCAGAACTGATAAAGCTGCCTGCCATGAGGGAGAATCACCAGGTCGGGTGGTTGTGACCCATACAGCATCAGAAGAATATATTTCTTCCTGCTTGCTTCTGCACTTCCAAACGCTAGAAACGGTACTTGTCTGGGTATGCTTTTTTAGTACCAAGAAAGATTCGCTGATTTTTTGGCACAAGTTTGTAATAGGATAGACAATCAAAGTAAAAGGCTACTATGAGCATATCATTCTCCTTCTTGAAAGGTTTTAGTATCAGGTCTCTTATGAGACTGAGGACTATGTTTACATCCTTCAAGATGGAACAAGTGTATATATAGCCAACTATACTATGGGAGTTTTACAGGAAAGAGGGCTCTACAACTACATCTTTCTTTGGACTGTGAAGTCTCCAGATCTCAATCTCATTGAGGGAGTCTGGAGGCTTATTAAAGCACGAATTCATAGTCGTATTCCAAGGCCAAATACCAATGCCCTTATGCTAGAGGCGATTCAGGCGGAGTGTGATTAAATAGATATGCAGGATTTACAACTTTTACTTACTAGTATGCCTGAGCATGTTCAGGCTATTCTAAATATACAACGTGGTTATACAAAGTATTAGGAATTTTTCCGCCCACTCATTTTTCTTCTTTTTTCTTATCTTGGGAGGAGAAACTGATAGGCTAGTTTTAGGAGGGGTTGAAGGTGATATTTGTCATTTCTTCTGTTAGGGAATCTATAGGTAGTTATTCAGGAAGGGATATAGATGGTGTTTGGCACTCTCTATAGCCTCTTGTTTCTTTAGTACAAGGTCTTTCTTGCATCTGATATTTATATTTCTTCATGTTCAATACTTCTCATGATTTAATGAAACTAGAGCTATCCTGATTTCTCATTCTTCAGCTATTTACTTAAATGGCTATTTTCGTAAACTGGTTCTTCCAATAACCATATATCTGTACCACTACAAATGAGACACTTACCCCAGTTCCGTACCACTTTTTTAACCCTGTACCTTATATTGTAATATAAAGAGGCTACCATACCCATATTGTATTATGTGGGGCTAGTGATTGCCATTTGTGTCAAACCAATCTTGGAAGAAAAGATGTAAATAAGAGGTTGGGAACATTTGAATTTTTGCGTAAAAAATGAGGTTTTAGTTAGGTTTCGAGTGGCCTTAGTGATGTACCTGATTTATCTTACTTATGTTTTTTGTTACTTCTAAAAAAACAAAACAAACATGATCCTCTTCACGCTTTCTAAGCTACAATATAGAATCAGCTTATATACTTGATTAAGCCTATAGACTACCACAACCGCAAGTGTGGCAAATTATATATAGTTACCTCAGTACTAATATTAACTTCTGAAATCAGTAAAAGCCACTCCTGAAATTTAACTTTAACTTTATACGTTTCATATTAGTGTCTATAACTACAGTCACTCGGCAGAAGTGTTTGTGATCTGAGGTAATGTTTAATTGTGGTTACACTATATGCTGAGGCAGTACCGGTGGGGTTGTCAATGGGTGTGTGTGCACGTGAGTTCAAGTTCACAATCAACAACCACTGGCACCTCTCAACATTCAGCAGTCAATTGACCTACCATAAATTAAACTAGCTAATATTTTGTATAACCCCCCCTTGCTTCTAAAACTGCAGCCACCCTATCAGGCATTGATTTTCACAACTTCTCAAAAAACTCCTCAGGAATTATCTTCCAAAACCAATGGTAATACATGTGTAAGTCTTCTCCTAACAGCCTCTTTTCCCCATGGAGTATCTGCAACCCTTGGATACTACTGGTGCAATTGCTTTTTAAGCTCAACCCAATCATGCTCAATAGGGTTTAAATCAGGGAAATAAGTGGAGTGGTTCACAACCTCAATACTGTTTCTCTCTAACCAATCCATAACGCTACATGCCTTGTGAACAGGAGTATTATCTTGCTGAAAAAGAACATCTTCCAGTTGTATACCCAAGGAAATTATTTGATCAATAACAGGAAAAAGATATCTTCTAAAAAGTCTAACATACCTGGTCTTATTGATAGTTTGAGTAATAGGAACTAATAGACCTTTTCTTTTACCCCAAAAGCACTCTCAAACTATAAGCGAGATTCCTTTATCCTTCTCCTTTGGGTGTACACAATCAGCCAACTACTTCTCTACAGGTTCTCCGAATACACATTGTTGCTTTGGATTATGAGATTTCTCCACACTGCACTCATCACTCCAAATTACCCTTTCAAAATCCTCAGCTGTCCGGTCTCTATGAGCTGTGCCCTATCTCAATCTCTTAGCCACATGATCAGACTTTAGCCTATGTCTTGACTTGGCTATCCATTTTTTAATGTTTACTTCTCTGAGTACTTGGTCCACTATGCAGGCGAATTTAATAGGCAATCATATCCAGTCACTCTGTGTAGTACCAAGAGTTACTAGTATCAAGAGAAACACTGGGTGTATAGCGATTCCTGAAGGTGCATCTGGTTATTTTCTGATTGGACTTAGCTGCCTGTATAATTGTGTGACACTGTTGCTTGCCGGGCG